AATTGTTTCTATCATAGATTCCACATCCACAAAGGTATTTCATCATTTGAGTGGGCTAGGGCCCTACCAAATTCACCATCATGGGGAAAACACATCCTGAACTGTTAAGTCTGGTTGCTCCCTTCTCTTCTCTCCCCTACCCCCCAGTAATATCTGGTCTTTTGTGCGCTTTTATCCTACAGGTTTTTGCAGTGGAGAACAGCATTTCTCAAATTGTGCAGCAGGAGCAGGGGGCGGTGCGAACACAAAAGGAAGTTGCAGGGTGGATCTTAAAGTTATTTTAAGGGGATCACAGTATTGCTGCTCACTCTTCTGCACTGTCTTCAAAGCTGACTGAGGGCCCATCTTTCCAGGCAGCAGTAAAAAAGTAAAAGTATCACAATCATAGCATGCCATCCTTATTTCTGCGCTGCTTTGCCAGCAGCCGATACCTTGCAGCTGCCCAGCTCTGAAGGCAGTGCTGCTACCAGTAGTCCTGCAGAAAAAGGGAACAGTACTGCTCCCTCTCCCAGGCCTGGCCAAAGAGTTTGCAGGGCCCAAGGCAGGGCTCTGGGAGCAGGGCCCCAGGCCCAGCCAGTGGATGGTGAATACTTAGCAGCGTGGGGGCCCAAAAGCACGGAGCCCAAAGCCTTTGCCTTGCTTGCCTTGCCCTAGGGCCAGGCCTGCCCTCTCCACCCCCCAAATAGCCCAAACACAATAGTGGGAGGAGCATCCAGCCAGAAGGAAAGTTTTACCAGTGCTCACTCTGTATGTAAGGGTCATATAAATAATTTGGTCTGACTTGTTCATGACAAAATTGCCCAGCTAAAAGTTGGTTGTTTTCACTTCCTTTATCACTTCCTCTATCCGCTTAAATCCTTCTGTTTGAAACTCTGGAACTGCAACTTGGAATCTGACTATGTAATTGTAATATAGCTGTGCAACCCTGGGAAGCATCCACATATTGGCATGAAATACAAATATCCCTTTTACTTAGGATAACAAAAAGTATCTTTGGACTTTGTTAGTCATGGGAGAGGGCCGCAAAGTTGCTGCACTCCATTCCCAGGGAGAGAGGGCATTTCCTCTAACCTGTTAGTTAGGAGATAATGGCAAAACAGCCAAAGTCATAGAACATTTGTATATGCAACAAGCAACATTACTACATTTCTTTATAAACTATAAATGAAGAAAAGTGCCACATAATTATAAACCTAAGACTGTTCTTTAATGAGAGGGGAGATTTCCAAACGTGTGTATTAAATGATTTTGGAACTTAAACTAAATCAAGAAACAAGGATGTTTAGATTTAAGTCTTTTTTTCTATAAAAATTGGCCAACTAGTGATTTTATCTGTTTCACTCAGGGACACCTGATCCTATTTATTTTCAGAAAAAAAATATAACATGGAATCCTCTAGAAGCACCAAGTTATGCTGTAGCTCATTTCGGTCGCCTCTTTCCTCATTCTGTTTTACATTTGTTGTATCTGGTCTAAAACTGAATTGTAAAACTCCTTAGGCAGGGAACTCTCTTGCTATGTGCCAATACAGAGGTCCAGCACATTGGAGCCTTCACTGTACCTGTGAGTGACTAAATCAGAGGTGGGCAAAAGGGCCTCTGCAGGCTGCTGCTCCTCTGCCCCTCAGGCCAATTAGGACCTGGGAACGAGGGAGTGTCTGAAGCCTCTTTTTGCCCTGGAGGGCGGGGGGGGGGGGGGGGAGTGGAGGAGGCTTCACGGGCTCCCCCACCCCCAGGCCAATCAGGGTCTGAGGGCAAGGGAGCTGCATTAAGCACATCAAAGTGCCACACGCTCCTCACAGAGCAGGAGGAGGCTTCCCACTGTCCTGCACCCCCAGGCCCTGATTGGCCTGGGACTGGGAGAGCGTGCCAAGCTTCTTCCAGGGCGTGGGTGCCTAGTGAGAAGGGGAGCAAAGAGGCTCCCCCAGCCCCAGACCAATCAAGGGTGGCCCCAGGCTACTTCAAAAATTTTCAGTAGCAATTATTGCCCACCCGTGGGCTAAATAGAAACTAGATCTAGGGACCTTTCTGTTAGAAAAACTTGCATCACTGTAACTAGAGTAAGTTTCTATTGTAGACATAAGACACAGTGGGGCCTCAACCGGTAAATCTCACAAGTGTAAGATTCCTTTCTGTGCATCTGTATTGGGGCTTGCAGTGTAACTACATTGTCTAGATCAGGGGTCAGCAACCCCCGGCAGCATGCCACAAGCGGCACGCGAGCTGATTTCCCATAGCACGCAGGGTGGGAGCTCAAGCCCGTCTCTCCCCCCATGCAGCTGGGATCTTGTGTTGTGGCTCCCCCCTCAGCCGTGCAGCTGCAGGCTGGTGTACTAGCTTTGACTTCCTCCTGGGATGAGGGGGAGGAAAGAGGCGCGCACATGTCCCTGGGGCTGTCCTTGCCCAGCCTGGGTGTGCAGCTCCCAGGAACCTAAAGGGTTAACTCCCCTGCCCCTTCCTAGCTACAGGCTTCTTATTTTGGGATGGGGCAGGGCTGTGTCTGCTTCTCAGGCCCCTTCCCCACTGGGCTGGAGCCAACCCTGGGCAGCCTTGGGCTTTGCCTGCCCTCGCCCCAGAGCTGCAGCCAATAGGCAAGGAGCTGGTCTGGCAGGGAAGAGACTCTGCCCCCCTCTCACCCTAGTGCTACTGGCCTGCCAGTGAGTGCACTAGAGGCACAGGGATGTGGGGACAGATGGGGGATGTGAAGGAGGATGGAAGGGGTCAGGAGTTTCACTGAGGTGGGATGGGGCGATGTGGGGGATCAGGCTGTGGAGGCAGGATGGGAGGGGGCAGGAGATGCACTGAAGTGCATGGAATGATGGGGAGGGATTATGGGGCTGAGGGGAGTGAGGCTGGAACAGAGGGAAGAGGTTCCAGAGAGGCTGTTCTCGGTAGTGACGGATGACAGAACAAGGAGCAATGATCTCAAATTAGTGGGAGAGGTCTAGGTTGGATATTAGGAAAAACTATTTCAGTAGGAGGGTGGTGAAGCACTGGAATGGGTTACCTAGGGTGGTTGTGGAATCTCCATCCCTAGAGGTGTTTAAAGTCTCTGCTTGACAAAGCCCTGGCTGGGATGATTTAGTTGGGATTGGTCCTGCCTTGGGCAGGGGGCTGGACTTGATGGCCTTCTGTGGTCCCTTCCAGTTCTACGATTCTATGTGAGGAGGGATACAATTTTACTTTGCAAAAGCTGCACTTTTCTTTACTCCCCACTTCTTTGCCTCCCTCCCCAACCAGCTATTTGCCTGTATTCTCACCCTCTCACCTTTCCTGCATTACTCCCCCAACCTCCTTCCGTCCCCAGGTCCCTCTCGTACCCCCACCCCACATCCTCTCCTGCCACCAAACTCCCTTCCAGACCCTGCTCTCCTCACCCATCCTGCATTCCTATCCCACACATTGAACCTCTCATTTTTGTTCCCACCCCAAAGCCTAAGGGAGTTCACAAAATCCACTAACTTTGGAACCCAAGAAAAATAAATCTGGCCTGTGATAAGCCCTGAACTTCAGGCCTCCCTGTCCCTTCCCCTCACACCATGGGGGCTGGAGTGCTAGAAGAGTGAGTTGTCTCAGTTGAGGGCCTGGGTCTTTTTGGCTGGGCTGCACCTGAAGGAAGGAGCCAGGGACCCTGGGGAGAAGAGGGGGGAAGAGAGGGAAGACAACCCTGTTTAGAGTGGCAGCTGGAAAAGAAGTTTTAGGGTGAGTTTGATTAAGTTTGTACTGAGATTTCAATGTAGAATTAGTCAAGTGGTTTTGTTTCTTTTGATTTGTAACCTATTTTGCTCTGCCCACTTTCACTTATTACTATTTAAATCCTACTGCTTCAACTTAATAAAACCATTTTTATTTTTTATCAAACCCAGTGTAAGTGATTGTTACTTGGGGAGGGCAACCAGTGTGCACATTTCCCCCTTTCATTGCTAAAGGGGACTTACCTAATTCTTTGGGGTTTGATCCCATCTGGGGAGTGCTATCTCCAGGAGGCTGGGCCCTAAGCTGTACTCTCCTTGGACCTGAGGAGGTTCAGTGTCTGTGCTGCTTCTCGGTGGGGGCAGGGACTTCAGCTTGGGGCCTTGGCTGGGGGAGACCCGGAAGCTGGCCCAGCAGGACTGGGAGGTGAGGAGCCCCACAGAGCAGGAAGACGAGTGGCAGTGGCTGGGTCAGCACCCCAGGAGGCACCCCCAAGGGGTCACCTGTGACCTCACCCCATCACAGGGACATAAAAGCATCTATTTGAGGGTGAACACTAACTAGCCTTTCATCTCTGGAGGTTCTTGAGTCAAGTAGCTAAGTTACAGGAGCTCAGAGGTTCATATTTGAGCTATCTGGAGAACCTGCACTGTGCTTGACTTTTGGTGGCATGTGGTATATAAGAGTATGTCCTAAGTACTAAGATATCATGACAATCAATATAATAGAAAACATATGAATAGGATTTTCACATTTGAATGATTGCTAAGTGAGCAATTTTCCCTTTTATAAAAGATTCTCATGCTTGCAGATTTTTGGGATGAGAGAGATAAGCAATGCTTCTATTAAACCTTCTGATGTTTCAGGCTATTTTAATTTTATATATCATCCTATGTGTTTTAATATGAGCCTTTCTTCCATCACTATGAAATGGCTAAACATTTCACTGCATACTTAAAACCATACTGAACTGATCTTAAACTGTCTTTCTGTATGGAAATATAGAGGAAAAACAACCTATTATATTTTTTTCCAACTAGGCAATATCGTTTTTCAGATCAATGGAGGAAATTTCAGTGAGCACAAAATATATTTCAGCAAGTGCACCAATGTCATTCTGAAAGAACTCTCTTCTCTCCCCTCCGCCCCCGCTCCCTCTCCCCCTGCCCCTAGAAATAATAGTATGCTGGGATTGGCAATTTACTGAAAAGATGAGAGAGAAAAACAAGTGATTCCAATACTTTGAATTATGTGAAGAATTTGAAATTGGTGTTTTGAGATTGTTTTGTTTTTTTTCCCCCCTCCTAGGATCAAATTTAAATCACTGTGGATTCAGAGGATCTTCATATTTGGGGTTGCCATTCAATCCATCCAAGGTTAGTTGAGTGTGAGTGTGTGTGTGTGGTGGTACGCACACGAGAGCGAAAGATAAGATCCCCATGGTAACTAGAAAATGATTTTGTGGCTTCTTTAGAGTAGGGATGTAAATGAGTAGTCGAGTATACAATTAACTGATAAGCCTAGGTTTATCAGTTAATCTTCTTGACTACTCACATTCTCTCCCTGCCCCCATGCTACCTTGGTATCAAAGGCAGCAAAGGGTGGGGAAGGAGTGGAAGCCGGCTTAGCCAGCAGCAAGGGGGGGGTGAGAGTGGAGTAGGGAGGCTTCTTCGTGGCAGCAGCCCCTGTCCATTGGGGCTCCGAGCTCCCCGCAGACAGAGGCTGCTCCGCAGCAAGCCTGGACCTGCTGCGGGCGGAGGCCACTTTGTTTAGACCCCCTGTATACCAGGGGCTGCTTGTAGACCAGCCTCTGTCCGGGACCAGCCTGGGCCATTGTGGCCAGAGGCTGCTTCGCAGCAGCCTTCCCTTCCTTCCCCCCCTCCACCCAGAAGCCTCTGTCTGTGGGGAGCTCAGACCCCTGCAAACGGGCTGCTGCCAGCACGTACTTCTGCCTCTATATCAGAGGTAGCAGTGTGGGGTGGCAGGCAGGTAGCCAGTCTGCATAGGGAGATGGTTTTTAAACTGGCTCCCCTCATAGACCAACTCCGCCTGGCACCCTGTGCTGCTGCCTCTGATAGAGAGGCAGCAGCACAGGGTAGCAGGGGCTCCCGGGAGTGGGGCTGGAGTGCACTGGCTGCCATCCCTGGTACTATAGAATAGTCGAGTAACTGATAAGAATTCATTCTATTACCTGCCATCCAACATCCCTACCTTAGATCATAACTACAGAACTATGAAGTGAACGTTGAACCAGGAACCTTTGAAAGAAATGAATATTTAATTGTTTGCACTTGCATAGTTTTACAAAAAATCCCCACTACACCTCCTCTGCCCCAGAACTGTTTCTCTGTTTACAAATGGCAATGGGGAAATGGCTATTCAGGTTGTAGCTTGCCCAAACTACACAGAAAATTGATTGGCAGCACTTGGTTTAGAAAATGGGAGTTCCTAATTGCTCATCCACTGGACCCTACTAGGTAAAAATCCTCTCTGGTCCAACAGCTACATGTGGACCATGTCCAGAAAAAAACTAATGAGATGCATGTATAGACAAAATACTGGAATGCAATCAATATTTATTGCCGACTACAGATTTTTAGTGTCATATATAAGTAGTGCAGGCGTGTTTCCTCCTCTTCCTGGGCATGCAAAGTAAAACAATTTAAGCATTTAAGCTATTCTGTTTGTATAATCCTGTTGCATTAAAACCTTTGTGTTGTGTCTAGACTACATCCCTCTGTTGGCAGAGAGATGTAAATGAGGCATTTCGAAAGTGCAAATGAAGTGGGGATCCCACGCTTCATTTGCATAATCACGTCATGCTGCTTTTTTGAAAAAGCGCCATTTCGAAAGTAAAACCACGGTCTAGACGCGGTTCTTTCGAAAACGGCAGGGTTTTTTTAAAGTGCCATGATGTGATTATGCAAATGAAGCGTGGGATCCCCACTTCATTTGCACTTTCGAAATGCCTCATTTACATCTCTCTGCCAACAGAGGGATGTAGTCTAGACACAGTGTTGGTAATTGAGTTGATCTGTCAGTGTAGATTGCTGACATGCGTCCATGTTATATAAGCCGTTGTTGCAAAGTATCGTGTAATTTTTCCAAACTCTTTACTGTGAATGACTGACTATAATGTATATTACGCAGATTGTAAAACACATGGAAAGAAATCTAGTTACCCTCCTACATTACAGGGGACACTAAGGGCAACATTAGCACAAAATGTAGGATTAGTGTGGAAAAAATGACTTGATCTTTAACAGTCATTTATAAACTGAATGTTTATTGTGACTGAACTTGTTTCTATGGTCCTGGATATTGTGATAATTCCCTTTGTGCATATGTTTGGGGTAGGGGAGGATTCTAAAATTCAAAGAATGTAAGTGTCATGGGCAGTAGGCTACTGAAAATAAAAATTGAGATGTTGGGATTTAGTGTTGTAACCTTCAGAGTTGTAGTGTCTAGAACTCTTGAAACCATGATCAGATCCCAGCAGGCACAACTAACTCAGCCTTGAAGTTAGATAAAGTAGTATGCAGCTTGTTGATTGGTGGATTCAGATGAGATGGCAAAAACATCTTGTCTATTCTGACTGAGGTTTGGACCCCTCTTTCTTAATCAGTCATCTGAGCTAGGTGAGGAAGAGCAATATGGTTCAAAGCCTAGGGTTGGAGTTAATTCCAGCACTGGTGACTTGTCCCTCCACAGATACTATCTGGCTGCTGCTCAGGCAAGAGGAGATGGTGTTAAAGTCCTCTATGGCTTCCGATTCTGCACCTCAGTTCTGTGTCAATGGAGGGATAATCCCATAATTTCAGTAACCCTCACCCCTCCTTGTCATCTGAACTGAGAATGCAAATTGCCCATCTTAATCTCCACTAACCTAGAGCAGTGTTTCTTAAACCTTTTAAAGACCAAGGAACACCAAACAATTTTTTTTAAATGAGGAACACCAAGGATTTTTTGGGGGTGTCCGGGCCAGGGGAAAGTTATTGAGCAAAAAAAAAAAAGTCGCCTGCCCCTTTGAGGGTGGCCATTTTGAATTATCTTTTTTTCTGCGCCACACCTCTAATTGCCTCGTGACACACCAGTGTGCAGCAGAACACAGTTTAAGAAACATTGACCTATAGAGACTACTTCACCCTAACGTCATTTACAACTGCTGGGCAAGAGGCAAGATGTTAGGTGGGTGCAGACTGTAGACCTGCACTTTGTTGGTGTTATCCCCTATGAGAGCATGCCCACGGGCTCCAGGGAGCATCTCACTTCAATCATGTGTGCTGGAGGAAGAGCCTCTACCCTGAGTGTGGAGCTAACACCTGTGAGTGGAGAGTACCCAGCAGCTAGGGTTGCCAGGTGTCCAGTATTCACCTGGACAGTCGTATTTTTGGCTCCTGCCCGGTAAAAAATTCAGAGAATACCAGACACCAGGGCTGGCCAGTATTTTCTGAATTTTTCCCTGGCCAGGAGGTGAAAATGCCGGGCACCTGTCAACCCTACAAACACTCAGCGTCCAGCCACCTCTCCCTCCCACTGTCTTCCTCTGGCCCCCAACACCGCCAGCGCCCCGTCCCCAGCCCCCATGCTTACCTGGTTCTCAAGGCTGCCGGCACAAAATGGCTGCCAGCCAAAAGACCTAGGGGAAGCAATGCTCAACTGCTTCCGTGTTCCTTTCCCTGTACTTAAAGGGGACATGCTATTTTATTTTAAAAAAAATATTTCTTTGGCTTTATAAGTCCTTGGAGTCTCTTTTCTTTTTTCTAAAAAAAACAACCCCAACTTTGGTCCTGTCCCGTCCCCTTTTTTTCCCCTTCAACAGAATTTTTTCCCAGGTTTTTTTTGGGGGGGAGGGTGGAGTGGTGTTCGGTATTTTTGTTTCAACCATCTGGCAACCCTTCCCAAATCCAAGTTGTTAGTGTTACTCTGTATTCAGCAATTTAAACTCTTAACATCTTTTACTCTTCTGTGCCTATTTCCCTTCTCTTTCACAGTCCCTCCATTACCAGTCTTACTTTTCCCCTTCTGTGCCCATCTTCCTTTTCTTCTGCTCCTGTTTCACTTCCTGCCTTCTTTCATTGGCTGTTAGCCAATCTTTGCCTTGATAGTACTTCACAGAAAGTGAAGCTTCATATGTGGTATCCATTTTTGCTACCCAAATCTTTTTCTCTTTGGCACAGTGAACTCTCCAGATTAAGGACAGTCTCCCTCTATGAATGCACAATGCCCACAGTTTGAGTACTATAATAAGTAAATTCATGGTAGTGTTTTTGTTAAGAGTAGGGGACTTGCCCTGTCAAAATTCCACCCCCCACCCCCCCATTCCCATGTTGTGCTGTTGGCTCTGCCTATTGTGTGCTTGGCTTTCATGTAGTCTGTGCATCATCAATGTGCTCTCTGCCCCAGCTGTGGAATTTGGTGCAGAATTGAAGCTTTTCGATTTAAAAAAAAAAAGAAGCTTGGCTTGTATTTGTGATGAAAACAACATTTTATACTGAAGTTGTATTTAGATTGTCTTTTGCGTCTGCAGTTGGAGAGTCTGACTCATTTCCATTCATTAAATGGAGTTTATTCTGAAGCATAACAAAGTAAATCTGAGCATGGATTATTTCATTATTCAGTAGAAGCTTATTCCTCTGCACCTTCCTAGTGCCAAAAGCCCTAGCTGTCAAAACCAATAGCTTATGCAATTGCTAATGCAGTTATGGATTAGGCATATTATGGGTTTTAAGAAGTGGGTAACTGACTAATTGTTTAGTCGATACAATTTTGGGAAGGAAGATACTCTATCCTGGCTCATGGCAATCCAAGATCTATCCCCACTGCAGCTCTGCAGTTTAAATGTGATAGAAGCTAACTAAGTGCTTAATAATTTGATTGGGCTAACTTTGGTTCTTTCCTTAAGTGAAAAGATAAATAACGCTTCCCTATTCACTTTTCCCATGCCACTCATGATTGGTCTCTGTCATATCACCCTTCTGGATGTATCTTTTTCCAAAATAAACAATTCCAGTTTTCTTAGTTTCTCCCTGGGCGGAAGCTGTTCCATACCTGTAATAATTTTGTTGCCTTTTTTGTAGTTTTCCCATTCTAATATGTTTTTTTAGATGGGTTGATCAAACATGCATGCTGTATTCAAGATATGGGCATACCATGGATTTATGTAGTGGCATTTTCATGTATTTTGTTTTATCTATCAATTTCCTAGTGATTGCTAACATGACTGCTGATATATGTCGGGTGGATGTTTTCAGAGAAGTATCCACCATGACTCCAAGATCTTTCTTGGCTGGTAAAAGCTAATTTAGACCCCCATCATTTTGTGTGTATAGTTGGGATTCCAATGTGCATTTACTAATTGAATTTATCTACCATTTGATTAACCAATTTAGTGAATCCCTTGAACTCTTCACAGTCATTTTTGGACTTGATACATAATTACCCAATAGAGTTGTCTACAGACATTGCTACCTTACTTCCTTTTCCCAGTCTTTTATGAATGTTGAACAGTATACATAATTAAGGAACACAACTAATTATATGTTTTGTGAAAACTGACCATTTCTTTGTAGCCTTTATTTCCTGTTTTTTAACCAGTTATTGATCCATGAGCAGCGGATCTTCCCTTTTACCCCATGAGTGTTGAGTTTGCTTAAGTGCCGTAGGTGAGGGACCTGGCCAAAGGCTTTCTGAAAGTCCAGTTCACTACATTGACTGTATCTCCCTTGTTTGTTTGTTTACCCTCTCAAAGAATTCTAATAGATTGATGAAGAATGGTTTCTCTTTACAAAAGCTATGCTGGCTATTCCATCAATATAGCATGTTTATCTGTATCTGATAATGATGGTTTCAACCACTTGCCTATACTGAAATTAGCTTTATCAGTTTACTTTCCAGGATTGCCTTGAAAGCCTTTTTTAAATATGCACATTTCATTAGCCATCCATCATCTGATAAATGCTGATTTAAGCACTAATTTTCATATTACAGTTGGTAGTTCTGCAATTTCATATTTAAGTTTATTGAAAGTATTTGTAAGCTCCCAGCTTCTCAGGAAAGATGTTAGATGGAGCTGTGCAATAATTTAGCTTGTTTGGGCATATTTAGTCAGATAAATTCCACTTAATCAAAATTACCGCAGAAATTAACATTCTTTACCTTTTAAAATGTTGTCAAAGCTTTGACTATTTAATTGTAGTTAAGAGCTTATGAAACAAGTTAAATGTATTTTCTTTTAATTTTAGGGTCCTGGTATATCTCATCCCTATGACAGTGGACACATAGCAATGACATACACTGGACTATCATGCTTGGTTATTCTTGGAGATGACTTGAGTCGAGTAAATAAAGATGCCTGCTTGGCAGGACTGAGAGCTCTCCAACTGGAAGATGGAAGGTACAGGATGTTCTTTATTACATACAGGGCACTCTGGAAAATTTTGAGAAATAACTACTCATGGAACAAAATATACATTTTACCCCTATAAAATATCGGTATTCGTTCTTCTCCATCTTAAGTTTTCAGTTTGCTGTGAAAACAAGAATATAGGCAAGTAGAGCCCTGTGCAAATGTGAAATTGATATCTGAATCCACATCTAGCTGAGTTAGGAGCAACCCTGAGAGGATGAAAGTTAGAAGTTGAGATTCAGGGGTATGGTTGAGGTGAAGATTGAGAATACTAGGTACCTACCATATCTGTATTCTCTTTCTGAAGCAATTAAAAATGAACTCCAGTGCATAAACTAGCATTATTATATTCCTTTCGGATCCAATAATAGACACTGAAAGATTCTGCTTGCAGTCAGAGGCAATTGGTCAGCCTGCAAAAAAAAAAAGTATCCATATTAATTTCAGTATGCTAACTTTTTCATATCCCACCAGCACTATTGAGTTGCAGCTTTTACTATTAGCTCTGTGACCTGGTGTCTTGTCCTGTTTAGGAGAATGCAGATGTAGTTGGGCAAAAAATGCTTGTGTGTGTCCCTTTTATTAAACAAATACTCTGCTACAGTATGTGCAAGCCAAATCTGCAGTTTAGTGCAATAAAGGTTTGTTATCTGGTATTTGAATATCTGGAAAACTACTGGTATGTTAACCAGCATTGCCCCCAGCTGCCATACCCCTGCGTCTTTGGGTGCGTGTGTCCTGCTCCTGCCTGTCTAGTGGGTTGGCTTGATGCCTCCGGCCATTGTGGAGCTTCTGACAACTAGCACTGCCAGCTGCTCTCATCTTCAGGTGCCACCTTCCTCTTCACCCTGCCTCGAGCTGTCCGAAGCCAGATCTGCCAGAGGGCTCCCAGGCAGCTGGCCCACTTGTCTGCCTGCCACATATGATGGCCCTGTGGCTCAAGGGGAGGGTAAAGGTCACCAGACATCCTAAGGGGATGAGAGTTGGTTGCTGTGGTTTCCTCTGGGTAGTAGGCAGGGCAAAGCAATAAGCTTGGGTATCCAGCACATTTGATTAACGTCAGCCCCCATTCCTCCAGGAGTGCTGGATAATAAAACTTTTACTCTACGTAAAGTTGGTATTAAAACTGAAAATCTAATGTATGCATTTTTTTAAAGAAAACTTTTACTTTTGGTAGGAATATTTGTTTCAGTACTAAATAGTGTTTCAGCATCACCCAGCCCATGCAAAACTTGTTCAGTTAAGGTTGTAGGGTTTTTTTTAAACAAATAGTTAACCAGCATAGACCTAGTGTGGACCATTAGAAGCATAAGACACATTTATACTATGTATCTTATTTCCCTTTCCTGAATGGGGTTGTAAAGTCCCATTTTAAAAGTTAATGGGTTAAATATTATGTTTAACCGATTAACCAGGATCTCACAGGTGGGGGCCTGCTTGTGGCACTGCAGGCCCAGCCAAACTGCTGTTCAACCACTAAGTGTGATAAGGGTGATGCTTTCCAGGGATCCAGTTAACTGGTTAACCCTTTACATCTCCAACACTAATAAGAACCCTTATAGCACTATATCTTAATCTTAGCTAAGAGGATTGTACCACTTTAATTATACTCTAGTTAAAGCTGTGCGACTTTGTTTAAACAAACCCTTAGAGCTGCTGCTGTTTCAGGGATGATTTTCTCGCTGAGAACATGTTACATCCACTGTAATATAGGATTGAAAATACTGGTAGTCCTGTTAGAAAGTACCGGGAAACTGTGTAAAACTTAAACTATTTGTCTATTTTGAGTTAGGTGTGGTTCAGATTAAGAAGTCTGTTTTTGTATTCTGTTTTGTGATTCCCAGTTGGCCTTTAGTGGGCATGTAGATTGATTCCTTCTTTGCATGATAAATTGTTATAGTAGCGTTTTGATTTATTTAAAGACTGAAAAGCATAATTAACGTGTTTTGGTGATTTACTTTTCTTTGTACTTAGGTGCAAGAGATCCATACAAAGGCACGTTTTTTTTAAATAAAATTCAACAGACTGAGATTTTGAACAGTATGTGGTGCTCCCAGACTCTTAAATAATTTTTGAGATTGTCTGTCTATCTGGAGAACTAACCATAGTTAGGCACTACTGAGTTTACCAATTACTAGCTTGTTGAGTAGAAAACTGAACAGACAAAACGCCAGAGCTGATTACATGTAGAGCTCTACTCTGTGATTTATTACATTCTCTCTTACGAATCTATCATTAGACTTTGTAGAAATTTGTCTGTAGTACAGTACTTCCCTAGAGATCCTGCTGTCATTGTTTCAAGAGAGCATGTTCCTTCATGAATAAAGTGTTCTGGGATCTTGACTGTGAAAACATCCCTTCTATTTCTGAATCTTCTCTTTGTCCATGATTTTTCCATTAGTGTTCCAGCAAACCTGGCCTTCAGTGGAATCTTTGACTGCAGTGGGAAGTTAGCAACTGACCTCTACATTTCTTGGCAACTAAGGGAGAATATTTCCTAACTGGTGTCCAGCTTTAGAGGAGAGAATTGACTCCATTTACTGTTGAATATTAGCCAAAGGAGCGCAACTATACTATAAAATACAGTAATATGCAAATAACATATTTGCCTAACCAGTTCTCCCCAATCTTTGGAGTTAAAATAATTAAATATAGCAAGCTCCTCAGGGAAGCAGAGCTGGTGTAATAAAGGGAGATTAAAACGTAATTGGACTCTCAGTTTAAACCCCAAATTTATCTGTAAAAAGTTGTCATTAGAAGTGAAAACTTAACCTGAATGGTCTTTGTAAAGAGTACTGAAACAAGAGACCGGCATGTAGTTCCTTAGAAGCTCATAGGTAGAGCTCTGCGTGGATACAAAATTGGTATCTGAATCCTCAAAAATGATCCATGGATACCCATGGATTTGTAGGGCTGTAGTGTAGGTTCTAACTGGCTGTGCTGTTGTGATTTCCATTCATAGTATTAAAATCCAGATTCTAAGTACTTAATCTATTTGTAAAGCCACATATATACTGTTTTAAATTGCTATTTAGTGTCAATATTATACATCTGCCTTATCAGATACACTGTTGTACAATTCAATTTCTGTGTGTGCATAACAGGGATTTTTAAAGGGACTATGGTCCATTTCATTATTAAACTGAGATAGCAGTGTTAATCAAGTGAAAGTGTTGGCTTAATTTATTTTTAGCTTATGAGTCAGCCAAGACTTACAGAGATGATAGGGGTCTACAAAGATAAACCATTTTCAAGAACTCAGAATTGTTAAAATACAATGCTAAATTGCGTCCGTAAAATAAAAATTCCAAATTTAAAGGAAACTATGTAGCTGGATGTGATTATTTCCAGAGTTGAGCCTCGTGCGTTGGGCATCTGATTGAAACAGAATACAGGCAGTCCCCGGGTCACGTACAAGACAGGGACTGTAGGTTTGTTCTTAAGTTGAATCTGTATGTAAGTCGGAACTGGCGTCCACATTCAGCCGCTGCTGAAACTGATCAGTTTCAACAGTGGCTGAATCTGGACGCCAGTTCTGACTTACATACAGATTCAACTTAAGAACCCCAGGCATCCCCAAGTCAGCTGCTGCTGAAACTGATCAGCGGCTGATTCCAGGAAGCCCGGGGCAGGGGCTTC